GAGAATCGCACCGGCTTGTGTGCAAGTTTAGAGAGGTTTAGGGTTTTAGGGTTTTCGGGTTTAGGGTTTTAGGGTTGAGGGTTTTAGGGTTTGGGGTTTTAGGGTTGAGGGTTTAGGTTTTTAGGGTTTTAGGGTTTTAGGTTTTAGGGTTTTAGGGTTTTAGGGTTTTAGATTTTACGGTTTAGGGTTTCAGGGTTTTAGGTTTTAGGATTTTAGGGTATTAGGGTTTAGGGGTTTAGGGTGTTAGAGTTTAGGGTTTAGGGTTTACGGTTTTAGGGTTTAGGTTTTTAAGGTTCTACAGTTCAGGGTTTTAGGGTCTAGGGTTTTTGGGCGTGAGGTTTTAGGATTTAGCGTTTAGGGCTTAGGGCCTGGCTGTCAAGGAAACAACTCAGTTCCCGTTTCGGGGTTTTGAGTAGGTTTGTGTTCCACCATTCCATCATTATACGCACTGAGATTATTTTCCTTCAGCAGAAGCCAATGTATGGCCCGTAGATCATACCAAAGATGATAGTAACCCTAAACCCCAAATCTTCTACCGTATTCATTTCAGGTATATTCCGCGTACCTGAGCTTGAACCCGAAACCCTAGGCCATAAGCCCAGGTTGAGGCTTAGGGCTTAGGGGCTGAGCCCTAAACTGCAACCCACGGATTGCAGGCGCAGTTCACCTTCAGACAGGTCAACCCCTTGGCCTGGTGGTGTTTTGTACTTTGGGTTAGGATTTTAGGGTTTACGGTTTGGGGATTTAGGGTTCATGCTGAGGGTGCAGGGTTTAAGGGTTTACGGATTAGTAAAATTTGGATTCAGGATTTCGCGATTCGGGATTTAGGATTCAGGCATTAGAGTTTCAAGCTTTAGGATTTGGAGTTTTGGAGTTCAGAAGGCTTTGGAGGGGCTGGGGTACAGGCAAGCTGGTTATTCTAGGCCACTACCTACAGGTTTAGTATTTGGTTGCAGTTCTATCAGTGCAATTTTAAGAAATCTAGAGAACAGACGAAAACTAAAGGAGCTCATACGTTAAGCGTCTGGACCTCCTGGTGTAGAACCATAGAAATTCATTGGTATCACTGTAAAGTGGGGTACAGTGGCCTTCCTCCAAACACACATGGAAACCCATGCTGGCCCTTTGTAGGGCCGTCTTGGAGCTTCCGTGTGAGTGAAAGTCTAAACTCCTTAAAGGGGGTTACTTAGGGGATTTATGGGGGATTATAGGGTTTAGGGATGTTTAGGGTTTAGGGTCTGACTCCTTAATGGGCGCTATACAGGGGATCATATAGGGCAGTATTACAGGGGTTATTAAGGGGGATACTAGGAGTTTAGACTATAGTTCATGTACGTTTGGGGGAGGATAGTGGCCAGGAGCCTGTGTTGCTTTGCTGCGCTGTATGCAGGCTGTGAACCGTAAACCCCAAGCCCTAAACGGCTAAACCCCTAAACTCTAAGCCCTAAATCCTAAACGCTAAATCCTAAGCCTAACCCTAAATCCTAAACCTTAAATCCTTAACCTTAAACCCTACATCCCCAAACCTACAACACCGGAAAAAAATCTTGAACGCTGGGAGCTTGCACTTGGCCACTACAAGTTGCAGTCCCTTGTTGGATTAAAGCTTAGGGTTTAGTCCCTACTTGCGCGTTGTGATACCGTGGATGATGGAAATCTTGCACCCCTTAATATCTTCATTAACGGCTAGGGTGGCGCAAGATTTCTTCCATCCACACTAAACCTCTTAGTACTCCACAATATGATTCAGCTCGAGTGGGCATGGCTGGAAGTAGGTTTTGGGTGTAGTGATCAAGTTGGTCACGCCACCTGCAAGTCTTATGTTCCCCCTTAAGTAGATAGAGTATGGGGTATATGGGGATCTTATTACAAAATACCCAAAGCCACTATAAACCCTAAACTCTTCTTGACCAGCCTAACCTTGGGGCTTACAACTTCACCCCATCGAATCTTTCCCTCTGCAATACCCATATAAGCTACTGTCAATGTAGCGTTGCCAATGGACCTTAAGAGTGGACATAGGGGTCCGTAGTAGTTTAATATAGTTCTCTAAACTCTCTGAGAAGGATCAACGAGCTACATAAGAAACTTTGAACCATATCTATGTTCCAAACCTCCTCACATGTTTGTCAGGTTCGGGCTTCACCAGCCTCACTCTTGACTTGCTGCTTGTGGCTCTTGGAGCAGAGGCTTGGGTACTTGTACAGACTCCGTACCTAGTCCCTGTAGCTACCATCCATCCATACAGATAGATGATGGAGCTGAATCTGTGCCGGATAGAGCACCGGCGCAGACTACGTTTGGCATCAGCAGGTCTGCCCCAAAAGCAACTTCGCGAGGCTCTTCACACATGCATCTGTGATTGCTGCGGCGCCCTTGTGCTGGGAACGCGCTTCAAATGCATCGAATGCTCAGACTTCGATTTGTGTGCTGGGTGTTTGCGCAGCGGCGCTCCGCCGCAGCGTGCATCTCCCGAGTCGTCCCATTGTGACAATCACGCGCTGGCGGTGCTCCGCAGGATCACAGACAAAGGCCAGGTAGCCCGTGCCTTCCACTTTGCTCAGGCCATGTGCAAGCCTCCAACATGCGAAGAAGCAGCTCCGACGGTTGCGACCTTTGCAGGCCTCTGCGAACGGGGCTGTCAGCGCCAGGAGGCTGGAGTAGTTGCAATCTGCTCCCGGTGCGGCTCCCCGGCCTGCTCAGCGTGCTTCCTTTGCTGCCCTGGGGCACCTGCTTTGCGCTTTCCCGTTCGTAGCCAGGAAGAGGCCAAGATGCTGCTCGGCCGCGCGAGGGCCGTGGTGCAGCGGCTCCCTGCCGAGGATTTCAGGAAGGAGCTGGGCCCCGTGCAGTTTGGGCCACACCTTCCAGTATCGCCAGTATCACAGGAGACCCAATCCGGCTGCAAGATTCGGACCATGAGCCGGCTTGACATGGAGGCTGTGCTCTCTGTGGAGAGCATCTGCTTCATGGAGCCCTACTCCCGGGAAACCTTCGAGGAGCTGCTGCGTCTGGGCTCATCACGTTCGCTGGTGGCTTTGCTGGATGGATCTTTCGCTGGATACCTGATTCTAGATGCTGGGTTGCTGTTAAAGAACTTAAATTAAGTTAGTTACTATATTGGGGAAACCCTATTGTTTACTATATCTACCCATTATGGTAACTTAATTTAGGTTCCTTAACAGCAACCCAGGATGTTGGCCGCTGCGGGCGCCCGGGCCAAGCAGCCTACATTGTCAGCCTGGCAGTTCTGCCTACTTGCCGGGGCCGTGGGGTGGCGGAAAGCCTCATGAGGCAAGCCATCTCGGATGCAAACTCTTCAGGAGCGGCCAGCGTTCAGCTGCACCTGGTTCATTGTTCGTTTAGGGCTTGGCGGTTTCGGTCCAGTTTGGGTTTCGGGGCGGAGGTTTTGGGAGTTATGGTTTAGGGTTGAATAAATACGGCATATTTGGACAGTGTACGATTGCATACGCCCCGCGCACTTGGGATTTTGGGTTTGGCCTCAGGGGAGTGAGGGAGTAGATCTATCATAGTAGGAGCTACATGTGGCCCCAAAGCTTAAACCCTTAACCCTAAGGGGGAGTTCAGGGGGATCCACCCCCTTACCACTTCTAGACCACTGGTGTGTCATTCATATTCGGGAAATAATCTTTCATGTGGTTCATGTGGGTTTAGGGCCTTATGGTTTAGGCTTAGGGTTTAGGGTTAGGGTTTAGGGTTAAAGTCCGTAATTCCGGGCTGTTAGATGATTATAAATAGTCCCGTACAGAGTCATATGCGTGTATATACATAGCCACGAACAAGCACAGAGAAAGATAACGATCAATGGCAACGTTAAGTTTCAAGCTACTATCAATAATAACACTGACCATGATAATGACACAGCAAAACAGCAGTAGCAACAACAATAGGCAGAAACTTACGTGTGTATATATACATATCTATACAGATGTTTAACATACATCTGTGTGTAAATACACAAACACAGATTTTCACACACGCGCATATACACATATCTAAATATACTCGTGTGTGGATATGTAGACATACTATGCATAAATCGATGTGTTGGTGAAGGCTTTTTGCTACTGCCCCCCTAAACCCCAAACTCCAAACTCCAAACCCAAACCTCAAAATCTGAACCCTAAACCCGAAACCCCAAACGCTAAACCCCAACCCCAATCCCTACACCCTAAACTCCAAACCCTAAACCAGCTTGCATCCAGGCATGTGCACACTCAGAACCTGGGGGCACAGCGCCTTTACAGGCGTTGCGGCTTCGAGGTGATCTCCAAGATCGAAGGCTGGGGTTGAGGGTTTTAAGGTTTGAGGGCTTCTGGATCAGGGGTGTTGGGTTTAGGTTTCTAGGGTTAGGGTTGGAGGGTTTAGTGTTAAGAGTTTAGGGTTTTGAGTTTAAAGGTTTAGAGTTGAGGGTCTAGGGGTTTCGGGGCCTGAAGAAGGGCCATGGTTCAGGATTTAGGGTTTAGGTTTTATGAGGGTTGTTCTAAAGGTCCGTGTCTTCTGGTTATTATACATGGGTGACCGTTAGAAATGGTTCAGAGGACTCGCGAAAGTTTCGCAAAAAAGACGCTAACACGGATTTATCTTTCAGAAATACGCCTAAACATATTGTACTCCCCGTTATAGGAACCAAGCCAGAAAGGGCCTCTAATTTTCGGGAACTCCCATGTAGTTCCTTCAAACTTGAGTATCCAAGTTGAAGTCCTAAACCCTATAGTCCCCCTTGAGTAGATAGAATATGGCTTTTGGTGTGCTATAATAAGATCCCCATATACCCTATATTTCATGTACTTAATGGGGACTATAGGCCCTACACCCTCAACCCCAAGTTGACCTGAAAACAGGCTCCTTGAACGTTTCTAGCTGAGGATTCATGTACTATGTCTATACTCCTCAAAGGGGTTATATAGGGGATCATATTGTTTTTAGGGTTTAGGGTCTATAGTCCTCAAGGGGGTTATATAGGGGATTGTATTGACAAAAGAGCGGTGGATACCGCGATCTCTAGAGAACCTTCTTAGGCAACCCCAATAAACCCTGAAGAGCCTCCCCAGATTTTGTTAGGCTACTATGGCGGGGTTGATGATCTTCAACAAGGGGACGCTTACGTCATGTCAACTGGAGCGCTGCGTGAGAACTGCGGAAGAGCTGTGCCAGGGCAATAGCCGCAGTCCGTCTTCATGCGGCATTCTGCACGCGCACCTCTTGCCTCCGCTTCAACTCCCCCTGTTTGTCAAGTAGTCGCGATCTAGCAGTGGTCATCCCAAACTTGCACGTTGATCCACAAGCAGGACGCAGTTATTCGTTTCTGCTGGTGACCCAAGCTTTTGGGGTAGGTTTGCAGGGCGTAAGGTTTAGGGTTCAATAAGGGGTCTATGGTTTACGGTATTAAGGTACTTATATATACATATACTGTATAGGGAAAAAGGAGAAGGAAATGGAAACCATCAACGTCCTAAACCCTGAGCCCCAATGTTTTCAGGGGTGGTGGTATGAAGCGACGGAAGGTTGTTGAGCCTAGTTGCATGTGTGTAACTCGGGCCCGAATGGCCCCGCAAGAGGTTCTCTCAGAATGCGTGGCTGCTGTTAAGGGAATTACAGTACAGCTCCAATACGTGGAAACTTTCTTATTGTTATTGATGTTATTTGTTACTGTCACGATGACGCTTCTCTGTCATCATTATTACTGCTACTGTGATGATTTTGGCTAGTATTTTTTGTTCGAGTATATTCTAGATCTCCATAGCAACTTTGTAGGCTTCCCCTAATGTTTACAAGGATCGTCTCTGATTTTCTGAGACTGCCGCATCTGCTGTCGACTGAGTGCTTGTGAAAACGTTCATGCTGAAACAGCGCGGGATGCAGGATTTAGGGTTTTAGAGTCTTGCGATGAGGGTTTATCATTCATTCAGGGATTTGGATGCTTTTCTTGGTTGTCTACGGGACTGGAAAATCAAGGATGTCAGCCTTGCCCAAACATGCGTGGAACCCTCATAAGTTCACAATTTGGACTGTAATCCAGTGAAGAGGGCCTACATGGTTAGGGTTTAGGGTGTAATCGGGTTCCCTTCTACGGTTGATACTAAAAACCCTGCATGACCTTAATGTACTAGAACACCGCGTAGCGTCGCAAGCTTTTACCTGTAGTAAAAGCCCAAGTTTGGGGGATTTTCAGGAATCCAAGTAGCCCCATGTACTACTCCAATAATGGAAAATCAAATGGAAAACCAAATGGAAAATGACATGGACACTTGGGGTTTATAGGGATGTATAGGGATCCAAGTAGCCCAACGTAGGTGATATTTACAGATGTTAGGGCCCAATGTAGCTGTTATGTACAGACTTGGATCCCCGGAGGATGTGCAGAACTTGTTGCGACTTCGAGGTTGTAGGCTGCGTGCTTGGTCAGTGTTAAAAGCTTTCTTGGAATGCAGAAGGTGCACTCCGCGAACTCATATCGTGGTTTCCCAAAACAAGGGGTACCTCATTAGGGGTCGCCATATTAAGGATTCTAGCATTCTGGGATCTGCATTGGGATCCCCTTATTTATGCAAACTAGCATGTGAGCCATAGTCTACACTCCTAGTACCCCCCTTATTAGCCCCTATAATACTCCCCTATATAATCCCCTATACAAGCTCTTTAAGAATGGACAAGGATCCTCCTAGGCCCCATGTTCGGGTTCCGCGTTAGTTTGGGGAAGTTCATCTGAACCCTAAGCCCTGAACCTTCAAAACCTAAGCCCTAAAACCCAAACCCTTCGGTTTTGGAGTTTGGTTTTCATGCCCAGGTTGCTGGATAGGACAGGGCGACCGGAAGCCTATGCGAGACAATTGGGGTTGGACTTCGGGTTTAGGGTTTAGGAAATAATGGGGATGATTGTATTTGGGGGGTTGTATTGCACCCTAAGCCCTTAGCCTTATTGGGGTCCCACTATGTATGGAACCTACCATATCAGTACAGGGCAATTGTTTCAGTGACCTCACCCGGTCCCTCGCCCTATAGTTGAACCTCATAGACAATCACTTCACGTTGGCTTCAGGTTTTAGGGCTTTAGGGGTTTAAGGGTGCCCTAAACCCTAAATCCTAAACCCTAAACCTTAAATCCTAAACCCTAAACCTTAAATCCTAAACCCTAAACCTTAAATCCTAAACCCTTAACCTTAAAAATCCTAAACCGTAAACCTCAAATCCTAAACCCTAAACCTTAAATCCTAAACCCTAAACCTTAGAGTCCAGGATCCCAGATAGCCAGCACCGCCCTGGATAGCACCCGGATAGCATCCTGAGCCGCAAGTTGCTTGCCGAGCCCCTTTCGTTGTATAAGACCCCAATAGGGGTTTTGGGTTTAGGGTTTCGCTATCTGGGGAAACTGCCAGTTCTGCAGCAAGCATGTCCACGCATCTTGCGGACACAGTGGCCTGTTTCTTAACTTGCGTTTTGCATGACTCTGCTTAGCGTCAAAAGCGTAAACCCTCAGCCTTAAACCTTAAACCCTAAAAGCCTAAAACCCTATTGCAATATCCTGCTTGGAGTATGGCTTAGGATTTAGGGCTCAAGAGTTGTCATTGGCCCCCCTTGTCTCGGCACACGCACATGTAGATAGATAGCCCTAAAGCCTAAACCCTAAACCCTAGATAGTAGTTTCCATTTTACTTTCCATTATCCCAATTTAACACCTAAAAATTCCCTATATAACCCATTGTAGTAGTTTCCATTTTCTTTCCCATTATCCCAATACCCTAACCCTATATCTAAGCTCTGAGACTGAAGCATCATTGAGAGCTCTCGGCAAAGTAGGGCCGAGCAGGGCTAAGGGGTGGTGGTATTCAGTTGGTCATCAGTGTCTAAACGCTGAACTATCAGCACTACGCGCTCAAACCCATAGCCCTTGAGCCCTAAACCCTTCCAGGATTTTGGGGTCAGAGGTTAATGGGCAGCGGCTTTCAAAACGCCAGCCCCACTAAACCTTAAGCCTTGAAACCTGAAACCCTAAAGCCTGCTGCCAACGGAGGTCTACTTCAAGTTCCGCGCCGCTGCTCACAAGAACAGCGGCGGCCTCGGATGGTCAGGGGATCCGTTTTGGGTCTAGGACGCGGGTTTAGGGTCTAGGGCTCATGGTTTGTTGCGTGCAAGGCTGAGGGTTTAGTTTAAGGGTTTAGGGCTAGGGGAATTCAGATGCAAGGTTTAGGATTGAGGGCTCAGGTTTAGGGCTCCAGCAAGCTTTAGGGTTTCGGGCCAGTGCCGGGGTTCTTGGATACAAGTAACCCTAAACCTCAACCCTAAACCCTAACCCCCTAAACCCTAAACCCCTAAACCCC